ATGCTAAGGCCGCTCAACCGCTTGCTGTGATGTGCATTGACCACCAGGGGGCAGACAGTAGACTGGTTGACCATTTGCTATGATGTGCACTGACCACCAGGGGGCAGACACTCCGACAGGTAGGTTAGCTTGCTGCTGGGGTCTGGCCGATCAGGACTGAGCGAGATGGGCCGGACACGCCCTGGTGCCCTCCCAAGGTTCCTCTCTGGCTGGCCAACCTCCTGCGGCCCTCCCTGGCCCTGATTGTGCACTGGTGGGGTCCCTCAGTCTGGCCTGTGCCCTCTCACAACCTGGGACCCCTCAGGGGATGTCGGAGAGCCAGTTTGGGCCCAATCCTGCTCAACACAGGAGCTGCCCCCTGGTGGTCAGTGCGCTCTCCCACAGCGCTAAGGATGTCTGACTGTCAGGGAGCAGGCCTGTGCCATCAGTCGGACATCCCCCGAGGACTCCAGAACTGTGAGAGGGCGCAGACTGGGCTGAGGGACCCCCCCCCCCCTCGAGTGCACTAATTTTGTGCACCGGACCTCTAGTCTATAATAATAAAAGCGTAATATGCTAATTAGACTGGACATCCTTCTGGGATGAAGCCGGGGCTGCAGCTGCGGGATCGAGGTAGCTGCCTTAGCTGCGATGGAGGGATCCAGGCAGCCATGACTGCAAAGGCCTACTCTTGCATGAGTTTCGTACATCGGGCCTCTAGTAATAAAATAACAACTTACCTTTGTTGAGTGCTTACTAAATTCCATGCAAAGTTCCAGTAATCCTCAAATCAAGCCAAACAGATAAGTGTTATAACTATCTTCATATTTCCAATGAAAAAAATCCAAGGACCAAATAAATGTAATGGAATTGCCCAAGGAAACTTGGGAAGTAAATGATGGAATGTGATAGTTTACTTCAAAGAGGCATAATGTGCTATCTCTTCCCAATATCTATAAGCATGAGCCAACTGCTTGGCAAAGAGTTTGTACAAATTATCCAGGTTATAGAGACACACATTATGTTCTAATTGGATGTTTACTGACCAAGTACTATACACCAAGGACTACTCTCGGTATTAGCATTTCTCAATAATTATCACTAAGCATCATTTTCTGCTGAGCTCATTGTGCAGAGTAAGGATCTTACAGTGATGAGATCATTTAAAATACAAACTAGTCACCTTTCCCCCCCACAATAGTGCCAAACTGGAATCAACCTAGATGCCCATCAACAGGAAAATGTGACTTAGCCATGCAACGGGACATTATTCAGATGTAAAAAGCATGAAACTCTGATGCACACAAAAACATGAATAAGTCTCTAAATGATTACACTAAATGAAAAAAGTGAGACACAGAAGTACACAAGTACATACTTTATAATCCCAGTACGTAAACGTTTGGAATATGCAGATACTATCCTGGTGGTTGAAATCATCAGTCATTGCTTTGAAGGAGTTGACTAAGAAAGAATATGAAAGGATTATCTGGGATGATGGAAATGTTATTTGATACATTTACTTAAACTGGCTGAACAACATACTTAAGATCTGAGCATTTCGCTGTATATATTATAAAAAATAAAGAAATAAACAATAAAATATGTAATGCTAAAAATTGGAATGAGCAAAGGGAGGTAGAAGCACAGGGAAATGAGTGAGTAGCTTAGCTTTAAGGAGTCAGGGAATGCTTCATGGAAGACTGGACATGTGAGATGGGTTTCCAAGACTGAACAGGAATTTGCCAGTTGAAAGATATTCTCGGGCAGTGGTTCTCAACCTTCTGGCCCTTTAAATACAGTTCCTCATGTTGTGACCCAACCATAAAATTATTTTCGTTGCTACTTCATAACTGTAATGTTGCTACTGTTATGAATCGTCATGTAAATATCTGATATGCAGGATGGTCTTAGGCGACCCCTGTGAAAGGGTCGTTTGACCGCCAAAGGGGTCGCGACCCACAGGTTGAGAACCGCTGTTCTAGGGGAAAAGCAGAGAACATTCATTTATTAATTTCTGATTTATCTACTCAAAAATTATGGTCCATTTGTTTTCTGCTTGGTACAATTCTATGTTCTTGTGATGCAGCAATGAAAAAGACAGATGCAGTTTTTGCCTGCAGAAAGCTTAGACTCTAATGGGGAAGTCATAAGTTTTATGGAAACTCCATAAAAAATTTCAGGGAAAGTTGAGTTCATTGTGATTAGAATGTGTTGTAATGATAAGAGATAAGGTGGGTAGTGGTAAGTAAATTGGAATCAGATCAAGAATATTTAAATGTATAATACATTAAGGAGTGTGAATTGTATCTTAGAGGTGTGAGAATCTAGTACAAATTTATAAATCCTAAGTTGATGTAGTTACCATGTTTTTATTTTTGAATTACAGTTAACATTTAATATTATATTAGTTTCAGAGATAGTTATAATTTTCAAGGAAGATTATTTAGACTATTTGAGGACACATTGGAATAGAGAGAAATTAGTGGAAAAGTGGTAAAGAGAATGCTGTTCCCAAAGTTAAGCCAAGGTTGGCAGAAACTCAGTACATGTGCCACCTCACATTTTTTAGCCCATTGTAAGCAATGCTAACCCATAAAAGTACTCTTCCTCACCAAGTCAAAACAAGACTTTTAACACTACACACACATCATCCAAAGTAGATTTGGCACATGCACTATATGTGATTTCTGGTGGAGGTTCCAAAGGTCATTTCCTGGGTTCATGAGTCAGGAGCCCAGTAGAAAAAGGGGAGAGAGTAGATTGGAGAGCTAGCTCATAGGTAGAATTATTTGATTACTGGATAAGAGACTGATTCAGACTTTGATAGTGTGAATCTAGGAGACAGTAACATTAATAATAATAATAGCAATAAATCATGGCACAGAATGCATTTAGATTCTCGGGGAAGTGTGATAGTTTTGACAAGATCTCACTTCCACATCTCATTAATTAATGTTCACATTTACTTCTCAGAGAAAGTCTACTGTAGCTCTTCTGATCAATTTAGAGTAAAGAACCTTTATTTCTAGGCTTTAATTCCTTGCCTTATAATTAGGTCAATAATTTTTACTTTGTTGTCAAATGCACATAGCTCAATTCTTACTCTCAGAGCTTTCCTAAAAATGTCTCTCCCCCCTCCCTCGCACCCCCCCCCACCCCCCAGGATTATGACTCACAAGATTGGTTTCTTAGCTGTAAAGGCTTTAAATTATTTTTTATTTTGTTAGCATCTCTTTCCAAATATACTCATGCATTATAGGCCATTGGCCATGAACACCATATGTCTTTTGACCTATTAATTTTGTTATCATTGAGTGTTCAATGAATATTAGCATCTCTAAAACTCATTTTTATTTGCCTCACTCTGGTTCTTAGTACTACGGGTGTAACTTTACTCTTTCAGCTAATGATTGTGTCTGTTCGTTAAGGGAAAACGCTAGAAGATGCCTTTGTGCTGCTCAATCACAGCCAAATACTGCATTATCCACATTGACGACCAAAGGAGATAGCTCAGTTGACTAAATCTTCAAATTAACCCTAAATTTACGTAAAGATAAACCTGTTTTCAGGGAGAGAAGATTCGTTTTTACCTTGCCCTTGTTTACTCCGTAGCTGTTAGTAGATGTTAGTGCGGTGAGATGGTGAAAAAGCAGGGGAGCCTGGCCAGCGTGGCCCAGGGGTTGAGCATCCACCCATGAACCAGGAGGTCATGGTTCGATTCCCTGTCAGGGCACATGCCCTGATGCAAGCTCGATCCCCAGTGTGGGGCGTGGAGGAGGCAGCCGATCAATGATTCTCTCTCATCATTGATGTTTCTCTCTCTCTCTCCCTCTCCCGTCCTCTCTGAAGTCAATAAAAAATATATTTAAGAAGAAAACCAGGGAAGCAAGCAGCCTCAATGACGCGTGGTTAATCGGGACCTTGAAAGGGAAAGTGATTTGTGCTTCCAGGGCAGCAGCAGAGCAGGCGTGGAGGAGGCGGTGGAAGCCACTCCTGCCAGACAGCATCTGACAAGTGCAGCACCGCGTGCAGCCTGAGCATATGGCCGGGCAGCGCTGCCCAGGCCTCTTTGTGCCGAAGGCAAGGGCTCCTAGGGACTCAGACTTTTGTTTGTGCTGAAGGAGAATGAATATGCTCCGCAAACACTTGTAATTATCTTCTCATTGAAGAAGCATAAACTTGGACCTCAATACTGTTTTCTTGGGTAAATCATCAATCTTGAAAAGAAGTGGAATTACATTTTCTCTAGTTTTGCAAATGAAATGCTGGTATAAAATGAATGCATTTTTGGAGGGTTGCCACTCAAAACAGTCTCTTTTTTTTTAGGTTGAAGTATTATTTTAGGTTGAAATACTTCATTTCTCTCTTTATGCTACTTTTACTTTGTTCTATTTTCTTTCTTTTCCTAGAAATATTGTTTGTTTGAATTTTTACAAGTTATTTTGTTGTTTCCCTTTTTTAAAAAAAATAATATGGTTCATAACAAACACTTTAGAAGATATTAAAGAATGCTGCAGATTAAAGGTTCATAATTTGGTTTACCAACGTGCTATTTTTTATATTATTAGGGTGAATTTATTCAATAGTCAACACATAAAATCAAAGATTTATTTCAGCTCCAGATTTTTACAAATTATTTGCTTCACCAGATGTTTTGTTGTCGCTGTTTGTGTGTGTGTGTGAATGTGTGAGTGAACTGAAGGCCTGGGGGCCAAATGGCAGGGTCTGCCCCTGAGGCTGAAGAGAGAGCCTGGGGCCACTGTGAGAATTAGCTCGTTCTGCCCGCACACAGGGAAAACGTCCATTTTCCTGTCCCTCTCATCTCACAGGGCAAACGGCTTCGGCCTGGAGCCCTGGTGTGTGTCCCAGTGCGGGGCAGTGACTGAGAAAGTTACCTACATGCCCTGGTTCAGTGTGTGAAAATGTTTTTGTTGAAGCAACTTTATGTGTTCACTCTGTGTTAAATACGCTTTTTTTTTTTAAACTAATTTCGTGCTGCTGTTCTGCTTCTGTTTCAGGATGGCGTAGGGGTGGACGAGAAGCTGTCCCTGCGGCGGGTGGCCGTGGTCGAAGATTTCTTCGACATCATCTACTCCATGCACGTGGAGACAGGGCCAAATGGAGAGCAAATTCGGAAGCACGCTGGGCAGAAGAGAACGTACAAAGCGGTAAGTTACGAAGGCATGACAGGAGGACAAGGCGTGCATTTTGAAATTCGGTATTAGGCATGCTTATTAAATGGGGTTAAAGAAGGATAACTATTCTATCTGCGACATAAATTAGACCATCTCATGGTCACACCCAACTTTTAAGCTATAATTTAATTATTACTGGTTCTGTTTTGGTCCTGTGTTCACCAAGTCTATTGTATATAATTTAAACCTGTCTCTAGGAGTCTCATTGTATTCTTTAAATATACATAATATGTGGGAGTCCCAGTCAAATATGTTATTTATTCACTGCATCATAATATGGCTGGAACTTTTGAATATTGGTACTACCACTACAGTTTTAAGATTCCTTCCCCTTCAAATCATATTAATATGTTTGGGTAGTTCCTCTTTAATGCTTATAATCACATGGATAAGAAAATTTCATGTACTCTTTAAATGTCTCCTTATATGAATACATTGTACCAAAGGGTATACATTTCTTACAGAATAGGTTATTAAAAGATATGTGTTATTTTTATAGATTTAATGCCCTGGGACATTTTTGAATGTTATAATATATAATGTTTATATCATAAATTATGTGAAAAGAAGGTTTAATTAACTGTTAGATTTTGAAATATATATTGTCAAGCTGGAGTAATATATTATTTCTAAAGGGTCTAATTATTACTTACTGTTTGATCTAGACACTTTAATCTAGCTTTTTTTAATTAAAAAGTTTATAAAATCATCTTAATATAGATATTTCATTCTTTCTAGGAAAATGGAACAGTAAGTTATTCTTTTCCAATATGAGCAAAGTGTACGTCAGAGGTACTTTATCAGCAATCAGAAGAATATGCTTTTTTAGAATTCTTATTGAACTTTGCTTTTGGCTGCCTTTATATTAACTGTTTTCAGCTCTATTGATACACAATATCAGTCTGGATCCATTTTTTTTTCAGATACAGAAAAATGTGTGAAATGCTCAAAGTTTCAGATACAGGTACATATGTTTGAAAATTAGCTACTGAGCATAAGAAAGAGCTTCTTTTCCATAACTATTTTTTGCTATATTCCCAGGGTCATAGTGAACCCGTGTAGTTGAATAATAACCCCTAATACATGTTGTATTTATCTCTCCTTCTCTATGGTTTTGTTTCTTGGCTGTTTCCAAACTGCATGGTTTGTGGGGAGGCACTATTACAAGTTTCCTCACATAATTCTGCCACATAAACTTTCTTTTGACTTACATATCTCAGGAGGTACTCTTATCATGACTAATAGCAGTGACCTAGCTTCTTTAGGATATTTTTATGTCGACTAATATTCCTGCACATGCTCATTTCACCTGTCTCCTAAGCCAGTTTTTTATCTCTGGATGGTCATAGGAAAATAATTGTATATTGATCTACTAATGTCACTAACTGTGTACTCTTATGATAACCTATTTTCATGAGATAACTACCTGAACTTGATAGGACTCTGTAAGATAGACATACATCAGTTTAATTGTATTAAATGAAAAGCTAACAAGAAAGGAGTGGTTTCATTGTCTGTAGGAGGGTGGCAGCCAAATCTGATTAGATGCCAAAAGCAATTTAAAACAATTTAATCTTTCCAATGCACTAGATGGAGATCTTAAACTAAAGTGGGAACATGAGTCAGACCCAAATAGCTCACCTTTGTTTTCTGAAATGAAATGTGAGAATCTGATCCATTCCCATGTTGCATGCTAAACACTCTCAGTATATCGGTAAGCATGCTTTAACATACGTTATTTTGCATTAACATTATAAAGGCATTTTCTGCAATTTGGAGTAAGAATACCAACTTTTAAAGTCTAAGCAGCATCTAAAACGTGATCTAATCCCTATTGAGAATATTCTGTTTGAAGATCTTTCTCTTTCCCAAATTTATTGTTTATTTTCACATCTAAAGTGTTTCCAACCTTTTCCTAATATCATGAAGGTTCTTTTTGGCCTAACCAATTACCTTCTGGTATCTCTATAGAGAATCGTAATTAGGAAATATTTCCATTTTGTGGACTAATAACTCATCGTAGAAAAAAAAAAACCTGCTGCAATACCAGCAAAATTGTGTACTTGACTCTGCAGTGAACTTAAGTCTAATGTTAGAAAGTAATATAAATGTTCAAGTAATGGAGCATAAAACTAAATGCAGTTTGAAATGGAGTGGTGTTGGGTCAGAGTTGAGTTCTCGATACTAATACTGGCATTGGCTAGTTATTAGTAGATTAGCTAGATACCTATGGCAATTGTAATGGTTCCATTAAGTTTAAGATTTTTTCTACTTCTAACTCATTAGCTCATAGAGCATGCATGATTATGTTTATTGACCTTTTTTTTCTTCCTTTTCCTACATGGCCAAGAAACCATACTTATACAACTAATCATTAAAGCGTCTCAGATTGTCTTAATAATATTATCAGTAGATTTAGTGATCATTTTATTTACTTTGCCTTTTTTTGCAAATCTTTCTATGTTTTCACTCTGCAGGAAATGGTGGTTCTTTAATATCAGATTAACTTTGAATGCTATTTGTTTTTACCTATTTGCAGTATATCATTCCTTGAAATATCTAGGCATTCTATAACTTAAAGTGTATTGCAAATTGATTTGGCTGTAGATAAAATTGGAAAGTATATGTTCTATTACTCACGAGTTCTTTGAAAAACAAATCCACATAAAATGACACATTTTAGGAGTATGTGAAGGCTACCATAGTTATTATTTTCAGACATTGTTGAATTTTAGTGTCTTAGGTACTTTCTCTGTATTCATCACTGTCTCCTTATTAACTGTGATTGGTCCATTGAATGTGTTTCTTTCGGTAGACTTGACTAGCGTAAACCCTCAATTTAACAAAGTGGAGACGAGGTGTGGATCATTCAATGACTAGTATACATATATATTTGAACATAAAATGCATTTTTGTGCAGAAAATCGAATGCTGGCACTTACAATTTGGAGAGTCCCTTCAGAATGAGTGATGCTACATTATACAAAACTAGTGTGGATGCTGTTTGTCTTCCCGTCTACCTCTTCTCCACGCGTCCTGAGCTCCCTTCAGGAAACTCACCGCTCCTCGAGGGAGGGCTTAACGCTTGTGTCCACCACAGGCTCAGCACAGCTGCCTTTCCAGGGTTTTATGTCAGGGGCCCTTGAAAGATTCCGTTTCAATGCTCTTTCATGAAAAAACAAACAGAAAACTAGAGTAACTGGTGGAACTCCAGGAACTAAGGGGGAACGTTCATGTTTTCAATAGAGAGAACAGTCTGCATATGTATGTGCATGTATGTAAACGCACACACACCCCTTGTAGTGTGATGCAATAAGCCTACGTGCATTGTTCACATACATAGCTGCCAGTAATTACATTCCTTTAATTCAGAGTGGCTCATGTGCACTAGAGCTAAAAGAAACTGGACTAGAACCCAGACCAACTCAGTTTCAAATGCCAAGTCTAGCACTTTCTACCTGTGTCTCTTTGGGCAAATTATTTACTTTTTTCTCTCTTTCTGTCTAGAGCAGCGGTTCTCAACCTGTGGGTCGCGACCCCTTTGGGGGTCGAATGACCCTTTCACAGGGGTCGCCTAAGACCATCGGAAAACACATATATAATTACATATTGTTTTTGTGATTAATCACTATGCTTTAATTAAGTTCGATTTGTAACAATGAAAATACATCCTGCATATCAGATATTTACATGACGATTCATAACAGTAGCAAAATTACAGTTATGAAGTAGCAATGGAAATAATTTTATGGTTGGGGGTCACCACAACATGAGGAACTGTATTAAAGGGTCGCGGCATTAGGAAGGTTGAGAACCACTGGTCTAGAGGGAGATAAGGGTATGTGTGGTGTGGTAAAATAAGTGAGTTAAGATGTGCGAAGTGCTTGGCATCTGGTTAGCATTTGAATATTGTTACTTCTTCTTTATCCAGTCACTACTCAAGTTCCAGGTAGAAGGACAAGCAGGACAATAGCACAGGGCTACCACGGCCCTAATTATATTTTGGACATAATTTCCTCTCCCTGCCCCCTCCCCCCTCCCCCCCTCCCAACACTCCCCACTCCCCTGTTGGGAGATACTAATGGCAATAGCCTGTGCATGTTTCGTCTGCATCCTGTAGGTGGCACTATCCCTGGAAGTCCACCCTGTAACTTTTAGCCAAGGTTTGCCTGGGCTGAAGGAAAACATGAAAGCAGGCAGAGCCCCCGGTTAGGGGTTCTCTTGTAGGTTAGGTTGATGAGTGTTTTAATGATTTCATTACACTTTTCCACAGGTTAATTCTGTTAAATTAATTTTCGGAAAAATTTAAAACCTGGCTCTATTTAAAGAATTTGTTTTCAATATTTATTGAATATTTCTTTCCAGATACACACTACAGAAAAATACTATCTCATGCAGAATTTCTATGTTCCTGTCTGAAAATTAAAAAGGGAAATCTTTATTTTATTAGATCTAGAACACTTGACCTTAAAAGTATATTAGTATCATTTTTGTCCTTTAAAAAAAATAAATCCCTATTGATTCATCATCTCTGCTGCTCAGTAGGATATTTTAACTTGCACTGGTTTCTGCTCACTTGTCATGTTAACATTCTCAGAATTCTTGTCAACATATAGGGAGATTAAATGACCAAAATTTGTAGCCATTTTGGTGTGAAAAAAATAGCACTAAACTCTAATCCATGAGTTCCAAACCATTAATTTAACCTTTATTTTTACTTTTTTTTTTTTTTTTTTTTTTTTTTTGCTTAGGCCACAGTTTGCGGACATGTAAAATGAGAGGGTTATAGTTCAGTTTTCTTAAAACCAGTGAGAATGTGTGTGGGGCCATCACTGCTGGGGACACAGTGGAGATGGTAACCAATGTGAGTAGCAGGTTGGCACCAACAATGCAGCAAATAAACAGACATGGACACTGCCTTCTTAATGCAGGTGGTGTTGTTCACTTCATGTTACGATTATAAGCTCGGGTGG